ATTTAATAGGCTTGACAAAAAACCCTCTTAATGCTTATAGGACGAAAAGAGTTAAGAAAAAAATTATTAAAATTTATATATTACTCTTTTTATTAACAATTATGTTAATAAAAAGAGTAATATACACAAGAGTAAAAAAAATTGAATTTTACAAAACATAATACTATGAAGAAATTATTATGGCAATGTAAATTAAAATATACCACTTGGTGGAAGTATCCCTAATGAAGATAACAGTTCATCAGTTTCAGTTCTTAAATCTCTTTCAAGCCTATGTCTATTTTCTTCACTCTAGATTTTAAGAAAATATGAATAATTATTTAAACATACATCACTATCACATTTTTTAAAATTTATTTAAATATAAATAACTTAAGTTATTATAATAAATATTTCTGGATTTTAAAATGACATGATAATAATAATTACGTGAATAATAAATATTACAAATGAATTTATTGAAAATTTGATGACAGATGATTTAATTTAGAAATTACAACAAAAATTACAAGTGATATCAATAGAAAAAAAAATTATTAGAGAAATGCTATTTTATTTAATAGAACATGAATAAAATATATTAAATTATTATCTCTGGTTATAAGAAATAAGGAATAATTAAAATCAAACTTTTAGATGTAGAAATTAAATAATTATTGTAAACATGTTTATAAAAGTTATTTTAGATAACTTTGTTGAATTATAACAAATAAACAATTAATTTGTATCTACACAAAGAAATAATTTTTTATGGATATTATTACAATACTAATGAATATCATGCTATTTCATGTTTTTATACTTTTTTTATACATCTTATAAGCATATTACATTAGTCATCTTATATTGATTATTTCAATATATTATATAAGGTGTCTCAGGAGAAGTCGTCAATATTCTGGGAGGTAAAAGGATAGGTTATTTTAAGCAAAAAAGTTCATATAAATATGTGCTCTATCCCAAATGATTTCTAAGATTCTACTAGATGTGGATTGGTCATGGTGGCATCATTAATTTGCCAGCAAGATTTCCAGATCTAACCTCATTAGATTTTTGTTTATGGGTTTAATGAAGTGTGAAGTGTACTGAAAGAAGGTGGTACATAAGATGAACTGAAACATCACATAATGAATGTTATTGTCTGCCTAAATAAGCTATGCAGATATATTCAGACAAGCATCATGCCATGTTCTCACAAAAGTAGAAAAATGCATTAAAGCTAATGATGAAATTTTTGAAAATTTATTATAAACTGTTAGAAATTTTTTACTTTAAAAATAAACATTCAGGATAGAGAATATGTTTACATAAACTTTTTTCTTAAAATAACCTATCCTTTCACTTCCTGGAATATTGACCTTTCCTCCTGGGACACCCTGTATAAGAGTAAGATTATTAAAGAGCATTAATCATTGTAAATAAAAAATTTATATCTTTTTATTATTTAAATTAGTATCAACTTTACCTTTGAAATTACAATTTATTTATTCTAAAACAGTAATTCTCAAACTTTGTGTTCAATGACCAGTGTTTTTTTCATTTCAAATCCTTACAAACCAATTGAAATTTTTAAAAAATTAGAAAATGGAGAGATTAGAGTTCAAGTGANATCAAAATGGCGGGTATTTTCACTATTGTCAGGGAATACTTTTCCTTGCTTGCGAGATGAGGTCCACAATGAATTCTTCTAGCTTTCTGATTTTTCATCTTTTGTCACAAATATAGTTCAATTGCTTATCTAACTTTGTGATGATCAAAAGTCTCTTGTTCGGAAAGGAGCACTAATAAAATTTATATCCTGTTGAGCTACACGGTACTCACTGAAGCTTAACCTTCTTCGCTCTTCCATTCTGTTTTTTCTCTGACTCACTGGACCTTCATACATCCTCTCTGAAATTGAGCTTAAGAATCTCCAGTTACTCTTTTCCCTTTGGACCCATCGTTGTCCTCTCTATTGTTCTCGATGTTTCTCAGACATAATCCTCACATTGACAAAAGAAAGATTAGAAAAGGAAGACAAGAAAAAGGGAAGAAAGAAAAAGAGAAAGACATTAAGAATTAAAATAATCAAAACATGTGAATTTTAAATAATTAAAAAGGCAAGCAGCCACATATGTTTTTCCTTTTCTTTATCTCAAAGAGAGAAATTTCAAACTTCCATAAATGACATTTCAAAACTTTTGATTTGATTTGTATCAACAGTTCAGTTGATACAAATCAAAATTCCCAAAAATCATGCAACATGCAATTTTGTTACAAGCCCACTCTTTAATTTAAAAATTTTAAGTGTTTCACTCTTATGTTTGTCTCTACTATCAGAATTGTGAGCAATCAAACTTTAAAAAATAAACATTAATTTCAGACTATTTTTTTCTTTACACTTGATAATTCAGAGAATTTCAAAGTTTTTAATTTCATATTTACTTCCTTTGTCATTCAACAAAAAATTTTAATAAATTTAAAAATCAAAATATTACCTTTTTCCTGCTTGTGTTCCTGTTGATGTAACATTTTGATCAGGAGTAGGTGAGAGACTAGTATCAGGTGTACTATTAGAAGAAGCAGTTGACCAGCAAACACTTACTTCTATAAGAATGTAAAATAGATTTCAGTGCAATCAACAATTGTACATTAATTTTTTGAATTCATAAATCAGAACATTAATTATATACAGTATATTATTTACATTTTCTGCTTCGTTGGTTGAATGAACTGAGCGAATACGAAAAACGTTGTGTAGCACATAATCGATAATTTTCTGAAACGTATGTATGTACGAAGTATTTTACATATTATGCCGAAAAAGATAAAATGAATTCAAAATTATTGAGCTTTAGAAATTCACTTATTTCTTCTAGATGAGTGATTCCGGAATACAGTGAAAGACAAATCCGTTAACTTTGAATGTTACTGATAGATATCAGTTAGTCGTGAGCTTAATATGTATTGTATGATAGAACCTATAATAAGACTGCTTCGCCCTTAACTCACGCGCAGCGATAGCATGCAATTCAAGTTGGATAATTAGTGTGCACTAAATTAAAGCAAATCGTCATTCTGCACAAGCAGTAAATGCTTACGTTTGTTCTAAAACATCTTTAACTTGCATAATAAATATTGTGCAAGATATCATAAGCTAACGTATATAGGTTAAGAAATATATAGTCATATTTTCGGAAAATTGGAGAAAAAAGATCGGTATTAATTAAAAAATAAAATTGACGAGAGCTTTTTTATACCACGATACGCGTATTGGCACAACTGGTTTAAAGACTGTAAGCATATAGGAAAATAAAGTGGATGTGAAAAAGTCTAGTGTTTAATATCAACATTTTATGATGTCTTAAAAAACAAACAAGTTATCATCTTATTCAGTTTAATTTATTTTTATTTAAAAGTGATTTTCTCGTTCTACACTACTTTTCTATTTATAAAGTTTAATTTTATTTCGTTTATTTCATTTGTTTTTATATTCTATACTTTATAGATTTATTCTAATAAGCGTAAAAATGCAAAAGCCTTGTTATTGGTGCTGGACAAATTTTAAATGTTTAAGCCTGAAGGAGAACTTAAAGAAAAACAGTTTTTCCATTGACTTGACANGTTACCTAGGTACACTTTAACTCATCCTGTAAAAATAAATAAAAGATTAAATATTTTATATGTTACACTAAGAAACACAAACAAGTTCATTTTTAAGTTTAGTTTGACTTTAAAAGTTATTTTTATTATTTCGTTTGAATTTTTGGAAATATTTTCGAAAGTTGGTTACCTTTAAAAGTGCATGGCTTAATGAAAAAATACAAACTGATAAGTACTGATTAGCTTATTTTTATTTTATAGTTTTGTACAAGTGTTGTGTCACTTCTAATCAATATTGTTTTTTATAATTAAGTAGACTATGTTTGAATAAATATTGTTCATCTAATTGATTGCCTTTTAATTTTATTTTAACCATTAATATACTTAAATCAGGCCTGGGCAACCCGTGGCCCGTGGGCTGCATGCTGCTCGTCACATTAAATTGTGTGACCCTCTATTAAAACTTTCATTTTCCGTTTTGTGTATACCAAAAAAATTAAATAAATGAAAATTGTTATAATGCGCAAGTGCGAGTACGAATTCTTGGTATAACAATGAAATCTTATTCATTTTGTATTTATTTTACTTTTTTAAAAGCATGTTTACCTAAATTGTGACACATTGTAATGTTACGCGTGATCAAAGTGACCCGCTAAACAATTTGTGTTGGCCAGACCTGACTTAAATAATAATTCTAAATCAGTTTGGCCTGAAATCGGGTTTGGCCGGTAACATATATAACAGAAGGAAAGTGTGGCAATCGGTCAAAAATTGACGCTCAAAAGATTTTTACTTTTTGGATATATATAACCGAGAAAGTTATAAAAGTTAACGTTAGAAGTACTTGAGGCCTATTTTAAAATATAGGTTTTAAATAATTTGTATGTCGATTTTTACTTTGCCAAATAAATACTTATAAAGAACAATTAATGCTTTAACTGAATTTTATATATTGTTTTTTCATTTCGAAATAAACAAACATATTTTTTTCTTTTCTTAAATGAAATTTCAATATTTTATAACATAGTTTATAAAACACAATTACAGAAACTGCTTGTATTAGCTTGTAGACCGACGTTGATAAATTTTTGTGTTGGAAAAAATATACATAATTGTAAGTTCAAAGTTAAAAAATATAATTGCATTTTTCTAAATAACTAAATTCGATTCAAATGTTAACTTTATACATACCTTAATTATATTGATCATAAAATCGTGTAAAACAGTAAGTATCTCTACTTACTGTTTTACACGATTTGACACTATAAATATTTATGAAATTTAATTCTTGCATTTAATTGTAGAAATTGTAATTCTAAACCTAACGCTTTTCAAATTATTCAATGATTATTTCTGTCTCTGATTGGCCAATTTTGTCTTACTTTTAGTATTTAAGAAATTACTATATTGACTATTATCACAATAAGACAATGGAAGATCATCGTTGGCATGTATTTATTTTGCTTTTTATGTTTTTCCGATCAAATCTGAGTGCTTCCGAATATGACTACATTATAGGCAAGTTAACTGCTAAATTAAAAAAAAAGATTTAAGTAATTAATTGCTAAATAGAATTAAAAATTAAAAATAAATTATATATTAAGTTGGAGCAGGATCATCGGGAGCGACGGTGGCAAATCGCCTCTCAGAAGATAAAATCAATAATGTACTGTTGCTAGAAGCTGGGGATATTCCCAGTTTGATGAACGAAATTCCTGCATTAGCTGAAAATTTGCAACATTCCCGTTTTGACTGGCAATATAAAACAGTACCTCAAACTCATTCTTTCTTGGGTATGAAGGATAAGGTAAGTTTTACATTGGATTAAATTGATGTAATTTGAAACTTAAAATTATCATTTTAATTAAGTTTCCAATTTTTTTCAGAGAAGCACTTGGATTCGTGGGAAAGCATTAGGAGGAAGCAGTTCTATTAATAACATGTTTTATTTGCGTGGAAATAAAAAAGATTATGATGAATGGGCAAAAGCAGGTGCTACTGGATGGAGTTGGAAAGAAGTTCTTCCATATTTTTTGAAATCTGAAGGAAATACTGATCCAAACTTTTTTAATAAAGGTATTAAATAAAAATACTAAATAAGGAGATTAATTAAGGAATATTTAACCTTATAGGATATTATCATTAATAAAATATCAGAATAGGTATGCATTTATCTATAACATATAGATAAATGCGTACCTATTTATAATTATTTTGAATTAATTAAAAATAAATCTGTAAATAGTTTTTAAATACAGACCTAACATTTTAAACAAAATATATTTTAATATGAATTAGTATTTAACAGTTAATTCAAGTGAATACGAATATTATTTTCTACTTCAAATGCTTTACAAAAGCTTTGATGAATTCATTGTGCCACAGATCAGTGTTTTTTCCACCGCCGCGGGTTCGCAGAAAAATATTTAACCGTACTGAAGCTGGTACAATTGATTACGGGTGACATTTAAATAGTACAGTAATTAAATGTAACAAAGTACAGTACTTACAGTAACTCTATACTGTAAGTACTTTGTTACATACCACAATTCCAGATAAGCATACATAGACTTAATAAATAAGCATAATTCATAGTTACATTTAATTACTTGGTCCACGTAAAATTTTGAATAATTTTACCGGTTCGCGATCAGAAAAGGTTGAAAAACACTGCCATAGATTGTTTCAAACATAAAATTAAAAAACTAGCCCTGAACAGTGTAAACTCGTTTTGTAGAATACCACAACAGTGAAGGCGAATTAACTGTATCGTCTGTAATTCCAAATAACACCATAACAAATGCCATTCTGGAAGCAGGAATACAGTCTGGTTACGATATTGTAGATTTCAATGGTCCCAAACAAACAGGTAAAATCCAAGACTCATTATTTTATTAAATGAAAAAATTCTTGTAGTAAAAAGTTTTATATTTTAGGATTCGGTCTTCAGCAAGGAACAATTAGAAATGGTAAAAGGTGCAGCTCGGAAACAGCATTTTTACGTTCTGCGGCTGGAAGACCTAATTTAAAAATAATCACGAAAGCCTTCGTTACAGAAGTAAATTAATTTTTAATTACAATTTGAAATTTAAATTTATCTAATTATAGTATATGGAGTTATATTTTGTTTTATAATTTCAGATTTTAATCAATTCAGAAAAAGTTGCAACCGGTGTAAAATTTCACTATAAAAACGAAAGTAGAATTGTTAAAGTTAGGAAAGAAATTATTATTTCTGCAGGCGCAATTAATACGCCTCAGTTATTGATGCTATCAGGAATAGGACCAGCTGAACAACTTAAAAGTTTATCTGTAAGTAAATATATATATTTTTTCTTAGCATTCTATTTAAGTTTCATGAATTAATTGACTAATAAAATTTTAGACTTGATGATTCGCTATTTATTTGACCTTTTATTAATTTAAATCAATAGTTTATCATTATAATCATTACTTCAAATAATAATAATAATAATAACTTATTATTCCTAGATACCAGTTGTTGCTGATTTACCAGTCGGACACAATCTTCAGGATCACATAGTTGCAGAAGTTCTTTTCTTTTCTGTAAATAAAACTATAGAAAAGACTATTTCTGAAGATGATTATTTAAAATTTTTAATTAATGGAACCGGTAAATTTTATATAAAATATTAATAATGTTTAATAGTATTAATTTAATTAATAGAATTTATTTATTTCTTTTAATAAATAGGTCCATTAGCCACCTTCAAAAACGCTTTAGGAATGGCTTACATCAATTCTCCATTGAGATCTCTACAAGATGATTGGCCGGATCTACAGTTACTTTTTACGAATTCTAGAATTAGTACAAAAAAAGATGGATTAAAAATGAAACAAGCTTTAGGACTTACAGACGAAGTATTTTTATTTTATTTTAAAATAAAATCTTTATTTTCTATTAATATTTAATATAATTCTTACTTTAAAGGTGTACAAAAACATTTTCGACCATTACGAATCGATTCCAAATTTTATGGTTTCTGTTGCACTTCTAAGACCTTATAGTAGAGGTTACGTTACTATTAAGTCGAAAAATCCTTACGAAGCTCCAATAATTAATCCTCAATATCTAACTCATCCAAAAGATATAGAAATGTTGGTCAACGGTAAAGACAATTTTTATTATACTATATTAATTAATTAATTCTATGGAAGTATTATAAATGATGTTTGGTTTATCTAGGAATGAAGTTTGCTATAAAACTGTCAAGAACTCCGGCTCTTATGAAATTAAAAGCAAGTTTGTTTAGTACCATCGTTCCGAGATGCGAATCCTTCCCACATTATAGTGATCCTTATTTAGCCTGTGCAGCTCGTGTTTTAAGTAATACGCAGAATAATCCTGTTGGAACCTGTAAAATGGCATCTAGGAATGATTCCACTGGAGTAGTCGACCCAGAACTAAGGTAAAATCCAATTATTTATTTAGAAAATCATACATATCATTTTAGTGGTCACTAAGGCGTTAATATAAATAAGTTATAAACATAAATTTATTTAAAAACGTAATATTTCAGAGTTAAAGGAATTAAAAAACTTAGAGTTGTGGATGCATCCATTATGCCAACTATTCCGTCCGGTAATACCGATGTAATATCTGTAATGATAGCTGAAAAAGCAACTGAACTCATAAAAAGAAGCCATTTTAACAGACCAACAAAAGCAAGAATTCCTGATCCGGTAATAATAAATAGATACATTCCTGCTCCTATAATTCTTTTAAAACAACCTTTTTACTGGTTCTGAAATATCGATGCATATTATGTGAAATTATATTTGCATTTAAGGTGTTTTATAAAATACAAATTAAGATTTAAACGTTAATTTACGTTAATATTTTATGTAAATTCATTATATGATCATGTGATATTACTGGTTTTATTGAGAGGAAAGCATGTATCTAATCAATGAAGAAATAAAAACTTTCTGAATATTTATTTGGATCCTATCGAATTTCTTAATCTAATAAAGGAGGAGAATTTAAATTTATTTTACTTTCCTAGTTCTGTGATATATAACAGAGGGGAAAGTATGGCAATCGGGCAAAAAATGATCCCCACAAGATTTTTACATTTTTGGACTCGTTTAGAAATGGGGGAAAAAATCGGGGGTTTTCTGTAGGTATGGATGTTCATGTGTGGGGGGACACAATTTTGTTCACCCTGTTTGAAGCTTAATAACTCTTGTGCTTTTTGTTGAACATTTCTGAAATTTTGCCGGGAAGTGTGTATTAGGGAAATTGATGCCATTAAATTTTGGTGGTTAAAGGTCAACGGGGTGGAATGATAAAGAGGAGTCGTGTGTCATATCTCGAGTAGGGTAGGACTTAATGACGATTTTACTCGTTATTAGCGTTTACAGTTTTTTTTTAATAAACTCCATTCCTACCCTCAAAATTAACCTTTGGAAAAGATTGCCGGGAAAGTTAAGCAACTCGTTGCTGGATTTTTCAGACGAGAAAACAAATTTGTAACAGTTTAAATCGAAAAACGTTTATTTCGATAAAATCACTTTATATAAATAAACGAAAATGTAATCAAAACAACACAGAAATCTAATTAAACTGACAAAAACGTTTTAAGTATAAAAAAAAGTTAATAAAAGTAGTTGAACGCTTTGAAGCAAAGCTATCGTAAACCAGCCATCTCTAGACACAAGCGTCTAAAGAAAGGTCGACTTGAGACTAATTTTCCTAATGTGAGAAGTTTGAGGACACTTTTTATGCATTGTTCCTCTTGAGTATTTTTTTAAATAAATTGACTAAGTTTAAATTTATTTGTCCCTGCAATTTTTAATCAAACGATATTTGTGTTTAATATATTTTCTTACTTCTTAATAAAGTTCTATTATTATTATTATTTTTAATTTACACACACACGTATACGTGATATTAAATCGTTCCGGCTCACTTTTCTTGTCAGAATTATCTCCTCTTGGAAAGTTTGGGGAACCCTGGTCTACACCAATTCTGGAAATCAGCGCATACTCTAACGTGAAACTGGACACAAATTGTGTAATGGGAATTTTGAATTGTGCAGAGGGAATTCTATATTTGTACAGTGAATAATTTTTTGACAGTAACTTCATGTGGCCAAGAAATTTTGAATTAGGGCACTACTTCTACAGTGTTGAGTTCAGACATTTTTCGTTGGGAGAAATTTTTTCTAGGAAACCCTCGGTATCCTCTTAAATTCAACTCTGCCAATAAAACTAAACAATTATCTAAAATTGTTAGTTTTATTAGGAATTTAATTTTATTCCCTGTCAATAAAATTAAACAATTTTAGAAAAAATTTCATTAAAAACAAAATAAAATTAGACAAAATGACATTTATGAACAATCAAATGCAATTCCCAAGAAAAATTCACAGGTAAAAAAGTATTTAATTTATAGTTTGATTATTAATTAATGTGGTTTAGAAATTTGTTTTATTTGTTAATTTAAAGTAATTATCAATAGAAAAACATATAAANTAGTCCAGTTAGGCAATCAAGTATTTTGGTTCGATGTTAATCCAGATAATAGGCACTTAATAAGTCCGATGGACGACAAAGTTACTCCAGTGAAAAGCACAACGCACACGGAAATAGATACGGAGCTTGAGACTGAGCTCTTCTAGGACGGGGCGACGACTGCGTCATTTTGTTGTTCTGTTCTAATGTTGTACTGTTGAAATCGAGATATTAGGTCGAAAGGTGATGAGGAAGCGTCGTTACTAGGCTTGAGAACTTAACAGATGTTTAGCTCCCAGGTGTAAAAGTTGACAGTTATTTAACGAAAGTATAACTACGATGTGATATTAGGAGATAATGATATATACTGAAAGTCTGGATTCGGATCCTCACAATATTAATTTTAAATATAGAACATATTTAAAATTAATATTGTGAGGATCCGAATCCAGACTTTCAGTATATATCATTATCTCCTAATATCACATCGTAGTTATACTTTCGTTAAATAACTGTCAACTTTTACACCTGGGAGCTAAACATCTGTTAAGTTCTCAAGCCTAGTAACGACGCTTCCTCATCACCTTTCGACCTAATATCTCGATTTCAACAGTACAACATTAGAACAGAACAACAAAATGACGCAGTCGTCGCCCCGTCCTAGAAGAGCTCAGTCTCAAGCTCCGTATCTATTTCCGTGTGCGTTGTGCTTTTCACTGGAGTAACTTTGTCGTCCATCGGACTTATTAAGTGCCTATTATCTGGATTAACATCGAACCAAAATACTTGATTACCTAACTGGACTAACTTCGTCGTCAAATGCCTCCGCCCTCCAGACCTACTAGCGAATCACTAAAAACTCAAGGTATTTATCGTCACGCGCAACTTCTGTAAACTCTCTCTCTCTCGAGAACCGCGGAACTGTAACCGAAATCTTATGTCCAATTTAATGTTCATTTTATATATCTAATAACCTCGAACCCCATGTATTTATTGATAAAATCTAGTATCGTTAAGATCGAAATGTTGTATGTCCTGTATGGTCTATAATTACCCATTAAATAGTTGTTACGTTATCCGTCTCTGAGGTGCTATGGTCCCAGCTCTCACTTATGGGTGCGAGATCTGGGGCGGGGCAGCTAAGAGGGTCCACATCAGGGGGAAACTTCGCTCTGTTCAAAGGCTGGCAGCCATACCTATAGCCAAAGGGTATCGAACTACGTCCACGTATGCCCTTCTCGCCGTCACTGGGCTTCCTCCAATTGATCTTCTGGTAGAAATGAAGATTTGGAAATTTTATCTACTCAACATCAATAGGGATGAAGAAATCTCCTCCAACCTTAAAATAATATATCCTCATACCATCCTTCCCCCTAACATTAAGGACCTTGCTAACATTATAGCCAACAACAGCTTGGACAGGAAGTTCAAACACTATCTGCAACACCCTGCTACTAACATTCAAGCTAAAGTTGTCTTCTATCCTGATCATATTTCTGCCTCCTTCAATATTTTTACAGATGGCTCTAGGTCCGATAAAGGGGTCGGGTGTTCTTTTGTTATTGGAGACAGCAAAGAGAAAATCTTTAAACAAGCCTACTACAAATTAGATGACAATTGCTCCAACAATCAAGCAGAGTCGCTTGCTATTCTGAAAGCTCTGGAATATACTCAGTCTCTCCAGAATATCATCAAATGCAGAAGCATCAACATCTTCACAGATAGCCGGATGACCCTTCACCAGATTAAAAACAAGAACATTCTTCTCCCAATTATTAATGACATTCTTGGGCTTCTCCAATAGCTGCAACATTCAAAGGATATTAACTTCTATTGGGTGAAGGGCCACTCCGGTTGTCCTGGGAATGAGCGGGCAGTCCAGCTTGCTAAGGTAGCCCCTTGGAGGCTTAATGACATCTACTTCTCCTCTATCCCTGTGACATGGATTTCCAGTGCCCTGAAGCTTTATGTTAACAGCAAATGGCAAAGTGAATGGGACACTTCTGACACAGGTAGGTGGACGTACAAGCTCATTCATTCCCAGGGTGGACAGGCCGAACCCTACAAACTTCAACCCTAACTTCTGCACGACACAATTCATGACCGGGCACGGGAACTTCAACTACTATCTTGCAAGATTTTTAAAGAAGGGCGACGGAAAATGTAGCAGCTGCCCACTGGAGGATGAGACCCCTGAGCATCTCCTCTACCATTGTGAGGGCATGGAGGAAGAAAGGATGAAACTCATATCCACCATTCTAAAAAACAACGACACTTGGCCTTGTAACCCGAGCCTCCTCATCAGTAATAATCTCTATTACAAAGCCTTTGCAAACTTTGTGACAAGGCTCATCTCCAGCAGATCGACTCACCATTAAGTGGACTCTACCAATACGAACAATCTTAGCTGTGATATTTTGTCGCTGGTAGGGGGCCCTACAGGCCTCCTTTTCTTTTGCCGTTCAGCTGTGTAAAATCACGCTGTGTGGTTCGTTATCTTCTGTATATATTTTGTCGCGCTATCTCATGTACACTCTTTCACCAATTATGTGCTTTCCCGTGCACGGGCCCCTTTATATCTATTGTCTTACGCTCAGCAATGGCGCACATGTAATCTTCATCCTTCCTCTTTCTCTTCCCCTTTCTTCAACCCCTTCCTTCCCTTCCTTCGCTGACTATGCTTTTCAATGCGGCCAGGATCTATCACCTATCTATCTATCTACCCGTCTCTTGAGTAAGTCACTTCCGATGCGCTGTCTCTCCCTCCATCTGAATCTGATCGCTTGCGTGACCTAGTTAGCGCGGCTTCCGTGTCAGCCGAGATGCGGTGGTGTCATCTTGACAGGGCATCGAAGAGGTGCCGACCCTTCGGTCACAATATTGTTAAAATTAAAAATTACATTTATAACATAAAAATAACTATTTAGTACTCAATAAATGAGTATATTTTAAATAAAACATTATTAACAAGTCGTTTATATTTTTAATATTGTTTTTGATAATATGTGACTTTTAAATTAACAGTTTTTTTTTGGATAAATAACCTGAGATTTGACGATAAAATAAAAAATAAAAAACACCATTTGTATTTTTCCAGCAATAACTATTCACAGAACAAACGTTTACATCAGAACTTAAAAATGAATACCAATTTATTTATTACTATTTATTTTTAACTTTCATAATAATAAAAATGGATCATAATTATTTTACTTTTTATTTAACCGTTTGTAAACCTCCTGATGTTGTCCTTGCACCCCCAAATTAATTTTAATTTGCCACGGATGCCAGGAGTCCGTAGGAACCACTTTGGAAAACATTGCACTATATTATTCTAGCCACTGTAATTAAATAAGCGAAATAAAGAGAACTGTTTTAATCTTAGTCGCGTTATAATGGATAATTAAGTGAATAATTTGTGGATAATTAAGAAAGACGTGATAAATATTACTAGTCTTATTAATGGAATAACAAACCTTTACCTATAACTTTTTATATGCTCTCCAGCCTGACGAAATAGAGTCTGTCTCCTTGAAGTTAACTACCGTTCTTTTCCCGAAGACTTTGCACATTTCTAACCTTTCAAGTTGTTTCGGTCAAGTCTCTATTTTCTCTTGATGGCGTCTTTTCCATTTCTAAGGAGTGAGGAAATTGTAGAGTTCTTCTAAAACCCTACAATTTCCTCTCTCCTTAGAATTCTGTGCTTACTACATCGGGCTATCTCCTCATAGATGAAACAGAGGGCCTTGTCGTAGGTGACTACCACACTGTGTGATAGAACTGCCTCAGCTCAAGCATTCGAAAAGGATAGATATCTACAAACTGTTCGGGATAAGAACGGCATGAATATAGATAGTCCATTTATACGTTATTGTACAGGCCTATAATCATACAATGTAGCAAAATCGCTATAGAGGAAATTGCCGTCAACTTTGATGTTATAAACGATAATGTAACGAAACGACGTCATTTATGTTTATATCAAAATATCTTTTAAATTATAGCCATGTTACTGAACGCCGTTTAGTAAAATCGTTATATAAAGTTTTAATTGTCATAAATTTGAGCTTTTGTAACTTTGAATAAAATTCATCTGTTTCCATGCAATTTACTTATAAGCATAAAATTAAGCCGTAAAACTAAATTAGCTCTGCGGGAAACACCCGTAAACTTTGACCTATCGACCGGAAGTTTCGCCAGTACCTCACTGATAATGAGAAATCCTTAAGTCGAAAATTTAAGCTTTGTAGACCCAGTGATTGTTCTCTACGAGCGTCTGCAGTGCAGGATGAAGAACAAGAAGACAATACAGCTATTTGGAGATTTTTGTACTTTTCGATTGCTCATATTTCGGAAACGACTTTATACAAAATCTTGAAATTTTGAATACTACCTAAAAAAACAATCTTCCTTCGAACGAGACGAGATACTCGAAATTACTACAGGTGTTTCGGAGACGGAAAAATGAATTCTCGAAAATCGGCAACTCTTATTCCTGTATGTGAAGTCAGTCAGTGGCTTTTTCACTTGCCGGGGAGTCATTACCGTCACTCCTGATATAAGACACTATTGTAGATTATTGGATCTTTCTTTCTTTTCTTTTTCTCTAATATAAAGATAAAGAAAGAAAGAAAGATGTTAGATGGATGCCGGCACAACTCAATTGTTAAAAGAAAAGTATGATGTACAGGAACAAGACTGCTAATTTGAAGGTAGAGAAATCATTGGATCAAATTCCATCTATTATTAAATACAGAGTGTCCTCAATATATGTTACTCTTAAATTCCTATCGACGGCCGGATGGCTGAGAGGTCAAGGTATCAGCCTACCGCTCTGGGGGAACCTGGATCGAATCCGAACGAGTCAAGAAACTCCCAGGAATTTTTCGGGGCGTGGTTCGTTCGGATATGTCGAACCCCGTCCTACACCATCCGGTCGCACCATTGTGAGCCTGGCTCGAACCCATAATGGGCCTGCTATAAGATGGCCCTGTTAGTGCCAACAGTGCAGAGAATATTAATTTAAAAAAAAAAAAAAAAACATTAATTCCTACAACACGTCGTGAATAAAATGGTGTACACAGTATAGAACAACGTTTTCTACTGATATTTTCCAAATTCTGCTTCAACAAGATTGCTAGACGTCTCAGATTTTTACAGCTTAAACAATTTATAAACTTTGGGCTGGATTTTATATCACTAGTGCCCAGAAAGTTAGATGCTTACCTTAAAAAACATTTAAAAGCAGCTTTCAGATGTAAGGAAATTATTTCTACTTTTTCAGTTTTCAGAACATTAAATAAATGTGGGTTGATTTTAGTTTCTCACGGTAGCTGCCGTATTACCATATTGAAGCAACTTCTGATAATGGAAAATACTACAATATGTAGTAGGCAGATGTTGACCTGCAAGTAGAATTTCTTCTTGTCCACACCGTGCGGGTCGCCAAAACCCCACAAACCACCATCTTTTTTCTGTAAAGTGATCATTTTAAGAGGTTATATTTCAGGAAAACCAAATCTAACAGTGGTCGCATTACACAATAAGCAGGCGATTGCTATACAGAGAGAAAAAATATCCCTAAAATCTATCAAGTAAATTTCAAGCCAAATAAAATTGCCCACTATAGGAAGGTGGCCGTGTCACCGAGATGGTCACATTGTCAGATTCCTTGTGTGTGTGTGTGTGTGTATATATATATATAATCAGTAAAAAATATTTGGATACAAGTAAGTGATTTCGTTATAACAATTCAAATTCAGATTTTAATATCAAAAGTAAATTGTTACCAGAGCCTCTTTGGCCATCGGCCATTGCGACCGACGTTACCGCTTCCCGGGACGTGGACCCAGAGGTTGGATTTTGGGAAGCGTGTTCGGGTTGTGAACGGTGTTGTTTATAATGCACGTGAATGGAATCGTTGGTGATTGGATGCGACGAATGTGTCGTTGTTTGAACTGTGTGTTTCAGCGTGAGGGATGTTGTTGTTTATGTGCGTGGATGTGAATTAATAATCTAGTGTGATCGACAAGGGGAAAAAAATTAAAAACCCCTTGTCTACTTACATCTAGATTAGTAAATTAAATTTAAGATTTTAGTTTCAATGTTTAGTATGACAAGAGGAAAAAATAAAAAATAAAAAACCTCTTGCCTTCTTATCCTACGTTAGTAAATTGAAACTAAAACCTTAAATTTAAATGTTGTTAGTATGACAAGAGGAAAAAACAAACGAAAAAAACCTCTTGCCTTCTTATCCTAGGTTAGTAATATCCTTCAGAAATAGCAAAGGAAAAAGTCGTTCACTTCTCTTACGAAGCGACGCTTTTTCCTTTCCATCTTTGCCCACACCGAACGAGAGGATCCCACTCGTTGGAAAAGGGAGGAATGATCGAAACATTCCTCCCCTCCCAGTGCGTCAAAGATGATGTCGTCAACATGGAGACATTTCACCTTTCGGAACACGTCCGAATGGCGAAATGTCTCCTCTCCGTTCAACGCGGAACAGAGAATGCTGTCGACATCCGCTATTCCCGAAGGCGATCCCGTGAAGGAAGAACCCCTTCCGCAATCGATGGAAGAGAGTTCCTCTCCCCGCTCAAAGGGGGAAAAGACCCTCTCTTCATCGATTGCGGAAGGAGAACGCCCTTCACACTTCTTCATCTTCTTGGGCCGCAGCCAACGCCAAAACCGCCAGCTCTTCATTCTGTAAAGAAACAAAAAATATATATATATATATATATATTAATGGGTCTCGGATATACTTAACGCAGAAAAAGTACAAGATAATACTCACGACAGAGCTCGCGTTAGATCCTACCGGAAATTGCTAGAACGTTCGAATTGCATTTGCAGTAGAGACGACCGACCCGGAACGAATAAACTCTTACGTGTAATTTGTATTTGTACGACAGAAAAGTAAAGACACGCCGCACGTAGCCATGCGCAAAAGGCACTCGTACTCGATCTCGAGCCCAAGTCGTAACGAGTGTTTCGTTCTAGAGCAATTTACCCTAACGTGCGTCACCTAACCGCAACGATGGCATTTAAGAGAGTTTCGTGCGAAGAAATTCCGTACGAGAGTCGACGAAAACACAAGACGTGCCCGCAGCCGGGACACGAACGTTTAAGTGGCACAAAGCATTTGCAGAGGGTTACGTAAGTGTGGAAGATGGACTGCACTCGGAAAAGACCGCATTGTGGAAAGAGACAAACAGCTTAAGGAAAAGAATTCTTTGTGTCCAGCCTGTATAGATAACTGTTAAGTGTATTAGATTGTGTTTTAAGTCGCACAGCTGCAGACAATTTAATTCTCGCAAAGTAAGCCATTGAAAAGCGTTGTAACTAATACGTAGATTCAATGGAGAAGTCGGAGGTGAAAGGGCGAAATTTTTGACGTCCCGGATGTGTCGAAGGAACGTGTCATGCTTCAGAATGCGGTCTCCGTGTATCCTTCGGTCCATCCGGTTTCGAGTGTATATTTTAGTTAAAATTACGATACGCAATTCGTATTTAGAGTTAGTATTAAATAAGTTTTAATTGAATTTCTATAAATAAGATATTTGCAAATAATCCTTATTCTTTGACCGTGTTTATAAAATATAATCTAAATTAATTAATTACGAAAATAAACCAATGAACAAATACTTAATCCTTTGCGTCCGTCGTTTTCGGCGCTTCGGTCGCTTTCCAATGTGGCGGCTGGTTTAAAAGTCGAAAGAGATGCGTTTCGGATGGTAATTCAAACGAAAAACACAAGCGACGGCAGATTTAAACGCAAATATGCAAAGTCCGAGTCGGCCGATGTCGTCTCCGAAAGTTGCACTAAACGAAACGAAAATAAAATCTTAAAGCTAGCTAAATTCTAATTAAAATCTTACTTGGTGTAATGTCGGCGTCCACAAGTCTTCTCAAAACCACGTTCCGGTAGCAAAAACCACTGAAAAAAGGCAGAAATCAGAGCAAAAACCAGAGTCCGTTCGGCAAGCGAAAAACGTGCAAAGTGCAACGTGCAAAATCGTGTTGCAACAATACGCGTTTCCATAGAAACGGCAATTGTTGCCGTTTCCATAGAGATTAAAAAGCGCGTAACGAATTCGAATGCGATTGACGTAATGGATTCTTTTTGAATTTTAAGGCTAAATATCTGTATTTTTTACGTTTTTATCCCCCGAGTGATGACGGATTGGGATCGAGAGACTCCCTACCACCCTCCGCCTTCGGTTTCCATTCTCCACGAGGGGTTAGAAGCGAGATTTTCTATAATCGAACGTCATCTTTACCTCGCCACCCCCCAAAACTAGAAGAAATCCTTCCTCTCGTTCGTCCAGTATTTTCCGACGAATTTTCCGATTGACCGACAGCGCAATTTTTACTAAATTTCGTAATATTTCGTTAATTTGACGTCATTTTAAAAGCGGTTACCTGACGTCATCGAACGTTGGTTATATTAAATATGCGTGTTATAGTTTAGTTACGTAAACGTTAAAGTAACTTGTATATTAAATAAGCGAATTTTATGAATTTACCTGACCCTATAGAAAATATCGTGTATGTATTTTAAACCAAACAATCAAACATCGATCTTTCTATATTGAAAGTGAGAAAAAGATCGTTCGCTTCAAGAAATGTAACTGTTATTATTAAAAACCGTCTATCAATAGCAACGAGCCGCGTAACTTTCTCGGCTGTTGTGAGATTTTATTTAGAAGATAACTTTTATATTTTTAATTACAGTACATTATAATAAATAAAATTGTGTGTGGCGCCATCTGTTATGAGATTTTGTTATATAAATTTTTCATACTTTTAATTATTATAAAATGGCAAAAGGTTTAATTTTAAAAATATGAAAAAGAAAATTATAAATGCTAGTAACGAGTAAACTAGAGAACTAGCAATTGTGACATCCGAAAGGCCCTGGGTCTAATTTGTGAATTTTTATTAAATATGTTTAAATATAGACCCGAAATATTACTTCGTTTTTGTGAAAAAAATATTGTTTTAGACGTGGGAAAAACCAGATAACAAATGTTATTTCCTTTCACAAGAAGAGAACATCCTCTGTTTTTCCGTTATCCGTTAAAAATCTCGCTTAGATGGGAACTTTCGACCCCTCTTCGCTTCCCCTTTCATCCGCTCACATGAACGAAGTTCAAGCCAATGATTGGACGAAAATTTTGAAATAAAAGGAGAAATTAGTCAGAATTCGGGGAGTTCTTCGACAGATCCGAAGCATATAAACTCCACTCAGTTCTCCTCCTGATGGCCAACGCCCATAACGGAGTCCGATAGACTAAGTCCCGAGTCTACACTTAGAAGAAGTGGTATTTTTATATTTTGTGCACGAATTGATCTCCCATACGAAAGTAATATGAACCCTATCTACAAGGTGTCCTATATCTACAGAACAAAGACGACAACTAACAGGTCGTATGTTTAGAATCATTTTGTGAGCTCTCTCTCTCGAACGCGCATTAGCATAGATTCAGTCCTAGTCTATAGCTTGTCATATAATCGTTGTATTTGGTTATTTGTATTCGTTTGTTTGAGATTTATTAAATTTACTCTTGTTTTATTTTGTAAGAATGTCTCCTCAATTTATTTCGAATCAGATCGCCTACGCGTGTTTGTCCGCGCATCGATAAATTGACAAACTGGTGTCGGGAACCTGACGAACTTCTGAACCTCGCAGTTCGGATCTGATTTTATACGCTCTCCTATGTAAACTTTTTACGATCGGATCTTACGATTCGAAACTCGGGGAACTATTCTCACGGAATAGGCCGATTAAGTGGTACTAACGAATTAGTGTACCCCCGGCTAATCTCACAC